GAAAAATACAAGCAAGGCTTCTTTCAATAAATTCAGCAAGTAGAATAGTTCTGTTTCTCACTAGCTGTGTACGTATGACTTCATGTCCTTCTAATCTTAAGACTTCCTATGATGCAATAAGAAATACTTTATCAGCTCAGTATCTGTGCAGATCTACACAGTATTAATTACAGTATACTTTGACATAAAGCTCGAGGGTCTATAGTCACAAGCAAGGCTTCTTTCAATAAATTCAGCAAGTAGAATAGTTCTGTTTCTCACTAGCTGTGTACGTATGACTTCATGTCCTTCTAATCTTAAGACTTCCTATGATGCAATAAGAAATACTTTATCAGCTCAGTATCTGTGCAGATCTACACAGTATTAATTACAGTATACTTTGACATAAAGCTCGAGGGTCTATAGTCTTAATTTTGGCTGGAGAGGAATAATTACAAATTTGACTCCGGTGCATCAGTGTGCAGTAACCGCAGAACAGCTCAGGGGAGTAAATCCCTGGGACTATGAGGTTTTTCACTGTTTGGTGCTACATTGTTTTCACTGGGAGGGACTAGGGATGATATTGTTTTCTAGAAATTCACAAAATGTTACTAAACAGCACTATTTATACACTTAGCTGCCTCTGTGATTTAATGGTAGAGCTGCTGACCTCCTGTGCAAAACCATACCATTATGAGCATGCATCAATTCATGAATCAAAATGACAGAGGATCTCATGATCAAATGAGAGAGGTTCTGCTACTTCTTATGACAGCAGTGCTTGTGATACAGCCATACTGGATCCATTTGTGATTGAACTGGAAACCAGCTATTTTCTATACTCACTGGAATTCTGATTTATGATGTGCTTGAAATTACTGTGGATTTCTATTAAAGACAAACACTTTGTGGTAAGGTACCATACTTACCTGTAATTTAGTTATGTAACAGTAGTATCCTCCATAGACCCCACATCCTTTGGGGTTTTATGTTTTTCAGATATGCAACTTTCAGAGCCAACTTGGCATTTTTTAAGAGCTTGGCTTTTTTCCTGAGGCCCTAAGCAAACCTCAAGCCATGAAGGAGCAGGGAATTTATACAGGTCTGCACAGACTCAATCAGCAGTTTCCTTTCCACTGACATCCACAGGAAGCCAGCATGTATGGAAAGATGGGAGCATGCAGACATCAACAATTACAGATAGGCCACTTTTCCCACATTTGGAAATGTACAGCTCAAGGCTAACTATTTAGTCAGTGCCTTTAGTGCATGAGAAACCTCTGCTAGCTGGCAGATTTTCTCTTTGAGAAGTTTATTCATTTATTGCATTACTCAGCATAGGCAGTGGCAAAGTAAAGCTGCAGGATGACAAAAAAGGGCCAAAGAAAATGACATTTAGGTGAAGCTGCAATGTTCAAAGATGAGAAGAACATTTCTAGTTGGTAAGCACAACGCTATAAAATATGCTTTGTGCCTCAAATATTTTAGGTAAACTCACAGACTCAGCCACTAAAATAAACTTTGCAAGAATGACACACAAACTCATAGAGACTCATACATCCACTTAACTTACACCCTCTGGAGATGACAGGATCTACTCTAAATTATGTTCCAGGACTGCAGCCCTCTTGTTAATTAATTTCATTTTTGCACTTCTAGCTTGCTTATAGAGACTTATTTCTTGACTCGGTCTTTAGAAACACACCCCTGGTATCATCTCTTCTGGCTGAGGATTCTTTACAGCACAAATATTACTGATCCAGGATCTATCTAGAAAAACAAACTGCAAATTTAGGGAACCAAGATACAAAGAGGTAACATACCCTTCTTCAATTGTAACAGAATTCATGATGATGCAGTTTGTTATCTTAACTTTTTCTTTTATGGTACACATGCTGCCAATGATGGAGTGTTTAATGGATGTCTTCTCCCCAATTTGGGTGGATGACCCAATGATACTGTCTGATCCAACCTAGGGAAGAAAAGAATAGAAACTAGCGAAAGTACCTGGAGCTCTCCAATATGTGTTCTTCATACACCTCTTCCAAACAGCGTGTCTCAAGCACGCATCAACAAAGTTTACCCTGCTCTACCCTAGGGGATCCTTGGCAAAGACTTAGAACTTTGGGTCCCATCCCATAGGCAGACAGCTGGACAGTCTTCCCAAGGTCCATTTGCTTGAAAAAACTCCACTAGCACGTCTGGCTCTGTAGGCCTTGTGCAGTAAGGTAAGCACAGTAAGAACAATCCTGCTGCTACTCTGGTTTCACTCAGGTTTGCTCAGTGAGTTCTGTGAAAGGGAGGCTTGAAGCTGGTGTTCAATCAAAATGCCTTATTGAGAAGCAAAGCTAAAATATTGGGTTTAGTGTCCTTTGGGAAGGCAAACTGCTCAACTCCCAGGAACTGCCATTAGGGAACAAGAGACTGCAGTGTCTGACTTGGGAGAAAGAATTTTTACCAAACATGTTTTAAAGACAGAGACTGATAGGCAGGAACTCATGGGCAAGCCTACAGGAGATTCTCGGCTGTATCACCTACAGTGTAATTCCACATTTCAGAACCTGGCTTCACTTCCAATGATGGGACTGAATCTTAGCCAGTAGTTCTAGAAGCAAAGTGTGTGCAGATTGTATTGAAGAGTACAGATGGGAAAAGGGAACACTTACCATGCCTCTGTCAGTGATCTGTGCAGACCCATGAACTAGTGGCTCTTCCAGACCCAGATTAAGCAGTAGCTTGGGAACCTGGATGGAAAAACCCACATCACAAGTTAACCTGACAGTGCTGTACCCACATGTTACATAAACAGTTCAAAGAGGGCTTTGGTTTCCATTGCACTAGTGCATCTGCCATAAACATATTAATTTCTGGGAAAAAGTAGGTTCCTGCATTTTAAATCTCCACCAGATATGTGTGACATACCATCTTCCATTTTTGTAAAGGAGACAGGTAGACTGCCACTGCAGTGCACTGCATGTCTCCCCTCAACTCAGCTTCCCACCTGTGGAGAAGCAGTGCATCAGCATCAGGAAGTGGGCTGACTCCAGCTGAACACAGTAACATCCTGCATGTTAATACAATGTTCAGCACCTGCCGTTTCAAATGCAGCTCAACGTGTTTTGCACTGTTCAGTAAAGCAAGAGAGGGAAGCAAGTAATACCAAATACAAACCAGTGAACTGGCATAAAAAGATGACTATGTTCAGCCCACTCCATAAGGCTGTATACTGAGGTACAAGCAACAAAATCATATTTCAGATGTTTAAGCAGAAAGAAACTAAAGTTGACCAAGTGGCTCTTCCAGATGGTAGAAAGTGGTGCACGAGAAGGCTCTTGACAGGGAGAAGGCAGGTGTTAGATAAGAAGAGAAAGCAGCAATGGTAATAGAGAGAGACACAGTCCATGAGGTAGCCAAGAACAAATCCATGGAGAGCAATTCTGAACTGGCTCCTGAAAAGAAAGGGGAGCCAGCGTTGTAGGAGGATGGGATATCGCTCCATCATTCCTCCTTTTCTGGGTGAAAGAGCAGCCTGAGGCATTCTGCATTTCCCGGCGTCAGGCTGGGGCCAAGGTCACACACCACAGAAGAGGTGATGACAGCACGGATGGGGATTTCAGGGGAGGTGGGAGCCTTGCAGCAGTGCACAGACACAGTGCTCTACAGAGTTACTGGCAGGGGTGATGCAATGTATGATGTCTCCTGCTAGACAGAGATGGCAGTCAAAGAAACATGGGAGACAGAAGGCAGCAAAGCAATGCTTGAGGACTAAGAGGTCCATGTCACGGCAAGTTGGACACCTGAGCAAGAGGCAGCATGTGGCAGGGCTGGTGTGGAGCACATGCTGTTTGGTAAGCCAGGATGTGTGCACTGACTGTCCATCTGGGAGGTCAACTTGGAGCCTCAGCACAGTGATGGTGCAACTGGGTTTGCCTGAAGGGAGGAAGCAACACTTATTAAGTCTCTCTTTTCTCTACCCAGGCACCTATTTTTACAAAACACATAGAAAAGGTTATCTTGGAGATCTATATTGCTCTGTTAAATTTGGCTGGATGTTGTTAGCAATTTCCAAAGCTGCTATGAATGTGCTCCTCAAGAAGCAAATCCCACAGATCTGAAAAAGTTGGGATCAGATCAGAAAAAGAAAAAAAAATCTCAAGATCTCAAATGAAATGATGCTTGCAGGAAATTACATGGATATTATAATATGACCAGCCCATTTCCCTTCCAGCATGCAAGGATGGATAAATAGTGCTGGTTTTCATATGATTTTTCACAGTTGATTCTTCATTCAGATGAGTGAGATGAGCTCAGATGAGCTCATACTTGTGAGCTATCATTTCAGTTTGCCTGTTGTCCCCAGTAGACATTTTCACATCTGTAGCTCTTTACATCTTGAAGTTGGTCCTTCCCACTAGACTCGTGTTTTGTTTATTTTGTCAGAAACAAGAGTAGATTAGATCCTTCAGTCCAAGGCACAGGCACTACAGAGAACCACCAGCTTACCCGAACACCACAAACTAGGCCAATCTGCCTGGATGCTGCTGGCTGCTGTTGACCTCACCTGACACACAGATCCAAGAGAGGAACACACACCAAAGAATACCTACAGCATAGGTTGGAAAGATTCCTACTATCCAGTGATGATCTGCATGAAAGGAAAGAAATGAAGAAGGGCTTTGCCCTCCTCAGTGGAAAGGTTCTGTGGTGAAATAAATAAAGGCTTTTACTGGCCAGAGCAAAGCCCTTATTAGAATCAGTCAATGGTAGTGCAGCCTGAGGGGTAACCCAAGAAAGCTACCAGCTCAAGCATTTTGCTCTGAAAAGGAAGGTTAGACTGGGGGCAGGAGTCAGAGGGAGTGCCTGGGTCAAGGGAAGGTTTAAGATGTGTTTGGATTTAATTCATCTTACAAAGAAACTATTTCCTGCTATTGAAGATAACTCCCTCCTGAACCCACCTGCCCACACACAGGCTGCAGGCATCCAGAAACCCAGCTGGAAGTGAAATGATGTGAGCAAAGTGTTTCCTCACCAGAAGGGCAATGGGTTAGGATGCCATTCCTTCCCATAGCTACTGGACTGGACTGCTACTGCTCAATGAGTCCATCCTTTTGGACCTCAAAGTTATAGTGCGACAAGGGAATCAGAATCTGGTCTGTGGAGACCAAGATAAGAGCAAACAAGACATCAGAAGTCCTCCTTAGAGACCAACAAAACAGGTAAAAAACCCCCAAACAGCTCAAATTAAATGTGTATCTTTTATGAGGATTAGCAAAAGAAACAAAATGCAGTGGCACTGAAAAAAGGAACTACTTTCTACAACTCCTCATTAAGCTCCATTTTATGTTTTACCTCCACATAGTTTCCTTAGAAATTTTACCATCCTGAAAAAGTTAAAAACTCAAAGAAAATCCTTTCCAACACTGAAGGCCCCAATGTGATTTCAAAACACTAATTCTATATACCACCCAGGAGCAAACATACTTCCTGAACTGACCAAAATGTAGAATACTTAGGTTAAAAAAAACCCAACCAAAAAACAAAAAATCAACACAAAAACCCCCACATGGAGTCTGACTGGCTTAACTCAATAACTTTTTACTGAAGTGGCTGCTGCCAAATGTACACGCACACTTCCCCTAGCAAGCAGTCCTCTCCCTTAACCCTTTGGGCACACTTGCTCCTGACATTATTGGGGAAAGTTTCCTCTTTCTGACAGCACTACTGCCTCTCTTCCTCATGTCCCTAACCACAAAACAAATCCCTTTATTCCTGTGTTCCTCTACAGGTACCAAGAGCTCCAGTGTGTCAACTCACACTGCCATGCTGCAATTTTGATTTGCATGCAGTAATCCACTCATGTTAGTAAAAAGAAACCAACTCAGTCTGAGAGCAAAGGCAAGGCAGTGACCACCTCCAGGATTCCCAACACAACTTTAGCATACTCACCACCCCACTTCCAGAAATCCTGAGTCTTTC